GTTGAATGATAGTAACAGGGTCAGTATTATGAGTATTAATAATTTTTGGATATTACATAGCAGATTGTAACAGAGACAAGGACCACCATTCAGATGCTTCCTCAGTTGCTAACTTGTGGCCAGGAGTAGTGTGTGTGTGTGTGTGTGTGTGTATTCATTCAATTTGTATGGCTGCCATCTCAACAAGTGACTCTGGGCAGTGAACAAAATTAAAAATAAAATAAAAACAATTAGAATAATTCAGAAATTAAAATATATAGCATCCGAAAATAATCATGCACCATAATCACTAATATAACCAAGAAACGGGTCCCTGCACACAGTTGGAGCCCAGGCCCAGGCCCAGAAACAGGTCTTTAAGGACTTACAAAAATCTAGAATGTACAGTCCTATGATAAATTGAGATTCTAGGCTCTCCCAGCAGCAAAATCAAAAGCACAGTATTACTGCAGGCAAAAGAGCAACAAATATGGCCAACTGCAATCTCTGTGGCCACTCATCAATCAAGGCTTGCTGTAGACAATGTTCCATGTTAGCCATGTATCCAAAACATCAATCAGCATATAGTGGCAAGATTCATACTGTTCTAATATCCCTCAGTGCATTCTATATGCTTTCCTAATGGAATGCACAAGCAGGCTGACTCCCATGCCTAAGGCAAGACTTAGCACATTACATGGCTAGTAGAAGGAACTTGGGGATTTGGAGCCCGCCTATGCATACAACTCTAGATGAACAGGAAGTTGGATCCTGGCAAAAGGAGATATTCAGCCTCAGGATTCAAAATGGAATAATCACAGAACCTGAACTAAAAATGTACGGGTAGTCCTCATTTATTGACTGCCTCATACAGTGACCATTCACAGTTATGATGGTGATGAAAAAGTAACTTTATGACTAATCCTTGCATTTACGACCTTCGCAAGCCTGTAAAGCAATGGAAAGCTGAAGATCATAAGCACAGTCACAGTTTCAGTTAGCAGCCACTTCACTTGACAACCAAGTTCCTGGTCCCAATTGTGGTCTCTAAATGAGGACTACCTATATTTAGAACAGACATATGGGATGACAAATGTATTATTGTAACCTTCTTCTCTTTTCCTCCTCTCTCTTCTTCCTCGTTAGGGAGAAACAGATGTGCTTTAGCAGACAGAGAACATTTGGTTTTATTTTTGAAATGCTGTTTTCCTTGCTTTATGACCTTTAGACTTTGATAATACTGCTGTAGCAACTGCTTCCATATCAGCCACACAAAGAAAACAGAACAACAAAAATCCATCACTATACTTCTAGAAATAACATCTTAGTGTCCATTTATCTCTGTTTGCTCTCCTTTAGCCAGTTACCTACCCGTGAGAGGATTTTAACTTACAGCTGAATGCAGTATCCACTGGATCACCTCTGCCAAGATACTTGTTCGTACTGCCAAATAACGCCCCCTTTTCCTTCCCTCCCCAGGCAAGGAGGCAGCAAACACGATGAAACAGAAGAATGTTTGGTCCTCCACTGTTAAGGTTGCCAGTAGCAGAACCCCCTCCCCCCAGCTTTCAGCAAGGACCGGGCCCCTCAGCAGCAGGGCAGCATTCTTCTTAGTCCTAACAGGCAGGAGGGAGAGAGACGATCCCAAAAGTGGGGCAGCAATGGCATGGCTGGATGTTGTCCAGGCACCTGCTGGGCTGGTGGCAACTACAGGATTCTGGACTCACAGTCCCCCAGGCAGGCAGGCAAGCAAGCAGGACAGGGCACCTCCTCCACATCCCTTGGTGACAGCTGCTGGAGCAGGGTGCTTTTCCCTCGCTTTACTCTGACTCTGCAGAGGCCATCATTGTCACTTGCTCTGTTCCTCCTCCATTGCCTGTCTGGCCTCAGGTATTCAAACTGTGCAAGAACATGAACAGTTGCAGAAACACATAAAGTTGCTAGAATGGAGTATGCAGAGTGAGTACCATGAATTGGCAGTGGCAGCACCGAGGGGACCATTGTGGAAGGCAGAGAGTAGGGAGGGAGGGACCCCCTCTTCCCTCCTTGCCTGGTGCCCAATGGAGTTGCATATGTTGCTGTAACCACCTTAAACCAGCCCTGGCTCATTCTTCCCAATAGGTAATGCCACTGCTGTTACTAAAAGCTGTATGGTGCAGAAATCTCCAAAAGCAGCTTTGCAAATTGTATGGTAATTAAAGCACAGACATCAGTAGAACACCATACTTTTCTCAGGAAAAATCCAAGATCATCCTGAGGAGGACGGGCTATAGTAGCAGAGGTGGTGTCTACCTCCAAAGGTATCTGGGTATGGCTATTCCCCCAGGTGAAAGAGTTCTATATGGGCAGGTAGCCACAGAACAGGAATCCCCCTGCTCCAAATAAGCTTTTAAATAAATGGCTTCAGGTTTCCTATTTTGGTTTTGGAGTGCGTGGTAATAGCATCAAATCCAACACTGGCCACAAAGAATAAATGACTTTTATTTTAACAAGGGCAACAAAGGAAGGCCAGTCTGGTGTAGTGGTTAAGGCATCAGGCTAGAAACTGGGAGACCGGGAGTACTAGTCCCACCTGAGGCACAAAGCCAGCTGGGTAACCTTGGACCAGTCACTCTCTCTCGGCCCTAGGAAGGAGGCAGTAGCAAATAATTTCTGCAATCTTGCCAAGAAAACTGCAAGGACTAGTGCAGAAGTCAAAACTGACTCAAATGGACCAAAAAAAAAAAAAAAA